TGTAGTACAAAATTCTCATTGCAATCTTGTAAATGCATCATTTAGGTGGCTCTAAAAATAGCTGTTCATAAAAAAAATATCGATGTGGCTGAAAAAATCTCGTATTTTCTTTTTCACGACATTCCGCTTGCCCGAGATGATGTCTGCTTCAATTTCAGCTACACGTCATGCTGTCGCTGTTAACCGATGACATTGTCATCGGTGCTTGTGTCAACTCCGAGCTCTTTGGCTGTGTAGGCGCTCGGGAAGATCGGATGGCGAAGGCTATAAGCGCTGACTCCAAGGAGAGCGAATTTTGTGTAGCTGACTTTCTCAACAAAACGCTCTTTGTTTGCGCCGATTTCCCAACTCGCTGCGCCTGCTCCGCCATTGAGTAGTACGTAGCATCAATTCGAAGTGCATCGCTCGTTGAATTTGGTCCCACGGCATCGTCAGTAGACAGCGTCCTTAAAGTTTCCGGCGGATTCGATGGGTCCGGCCGCGACTGCAACTAACTGTCAATGGGCACTTGTGGCCGGTGCCTTCTTGTTTCAAGGCCGTTTTTCTACGGCTTTTGAAAGCTCGTCGCATCGATGTTTTTAGATGAGAGTCTCCAGGCATCTCGATCGCAATTAAAATGTACAAATGCAAAGAGGAAACACGGTTCGTCGAGAAACAAGCACGATCGTTAGAGCAGATTCACACAATCGTACAGCCAGAGCGAATGCAACACAAATAAAATTTTTAAAAAATGATGCGTTGGTCATCCTAACCAATGGGAGACTCGGAAAAGCACGCCGTGTGAAGGCCAATCAGTGATGTGGAAACGACCTTCAGAAAACCTGCGACGGCAGCCATTCTGCTTGAGCTATGCCATTTTGAGATGGTGCAAAATGTGCACAAAAAAAATAGCTTCATATCAAGCCTAAGGCGGCGGTGCTCGGTCCGTCCCAAAGCACATGGCGCGCCTGGAAAGTAGGAACAAATTTCGTTCTTTTTGGGGCATTTTAATGCCACCGGGGTGCATTGAAGGTTGATTTTATCGCGTTTCCCAAATGAGCTTCGCAAAAAATAGTTTTTTTTTTACCATTTTTGACCGTTCTAAAACCCGCGCCCCCCCCCTTAAAGGGCCACTCACCAGGCTTTATACCGAATTTTAGTTAGACAGTGGAAGTTGTTGGGTGTCCGATGACAAACGTTTTGCCACAAAAATTTTTTGAATCAGTTCATTATGAGCGGAGAAAACAGGTTTTTTGAAGCGGCGCAAAACGAGTGAGAAAGGAGGCGAGCTTGAAACCCTTGCCACTCCTCCGCGTAGCCTTCGCAAGCCAAATTTTTTCCCCACCCTCTCCAGCATCCGACCATGAGGTGACGTGCGCATGACGTACGCAAACAAGTCCAACCCCCGAGCACGCGAGCAGCGTTGCTTTGTTGATCAGCTTTATTTTGTGGTCTTCTGCCTGTTTCTGCAGGATGGTTTGGAAACGCTGGCTTAGACGCAGTAGAGTAGATGAGCACAATGAGTGCGCGAACGGGTAGGAGCGTTCCACGGCGATCGTCCTCTTAATGCGCTGAACACGGGGACACGAACTCATGCGAAACCCTGGCACATTAGCCTTGCATCTCTTAGCATTTTGTGGGAAATAAATTAAAGAAAAACGCGCAAAATTTTTTATTGCGTTTGATTATTTATTTCAAGTTTGATTAATCTCTTCAAGCAACAAATACATAAACTACGCATGTTGTGTTCAACAATTTTGCATGTCAGGTGGTATACAGTTGACAGCGTCACAGCAGAGTCATCTACGTAGAGGACCAACGTCACTGCATTGCCGTGTACGTAGGGCCATTCCTATGCCCATGTCATGCCCTCATTCTCTACGCGTGCACCGGCAGAGGGGAGGGAAAGTAGCGTTCATCTTGAAATTTGACCCATTTCCGCGGCGCGTAGTGTTGCAAATTTTGGCAGGCGTGATCATGAACGCCTCGTCTGCGCATTGCGCTTGTCAGCTCAAAATTGTCAAACCTGGTGAATGGCCCTTTAAGGGAACCATGTGTAGATGCGAAGCAGCAGGTGCTACCGCTTACACCGGTGGCAGCGTTGAGGTTGGCGCTCATAGTGGCGTCGCGCAGGAGAGAAACCCGGGGAGGCACAAAGCATGCAGTGATGGATCGGTGTTTCCTACTGGAACATGCCAATCGCTGCTAATGGGCAGTGAAAGACAGAAGACTCAGATTGTAGTTAATGCGCACGCTGCAAATTTTTATTGTTCAACGCACACGAGAAATCTCCTATTGGCATTACCTTAGAGGTCAAAGTCTAATGCCTATATAAACGTGGTGGCCAGTGAACGGTTCTGCAGCACGAGCAGTCTCTTTTTTCAAGTGTAGGAGACTAGAAAGAGGGAGGGAAGGCATATGCGCAATGGTCTAGTGAACGCTGCGGGGAGGCATGCCTCGAGAAGAGAGGGAGGAGCAAGCAGACGCTGCCTGCGTTGGCTTTGCGTTGCGAGAACCGAAACAAGCAGTGCACTGAACGTGCACAGCGCTCTACCCGCTTAACATTCACACTTGAAGGAGAGTATACTAGAGGAGGAGCGTAGCGTACGCTCCTCGAGAGCAGCATTCGAAAACGCAAGCAGGTGGTATGAGAGAAGTGGAGAGAGTAATATGCAGCTGTTGGATAGCGAAGAGGAGAGTTGCACATGCGGAGTGTAAGTGTGGACGCCAATGCCACGGTACATGAACCCGAGCAAGATATGTTCCGCATCTAAAATTATAAGTCAACAGCCATAGAGATAACACGCGTATTGAAGGAGTGCCTTGCCTAACAGAATTGTCGCAGGCACCGGCCAGGCGCCACTGTGGTACCCGCTTCCACTGCATTTCGGTCCTTTTCCCTTTCTTTGACGTAACAGGGTGTTGAAAGAAAGATTTGTCGATAGCTGCTGGTACCAAGTTCAAAATTCTAAAGAGATGTTAAAGCCAGCAGCTGCTAGAAAACAAGCACTCCCAGGAACTATGATGAAGCTTTGCAGTGTGATATAAAAGACTGACGAACTTGGAACGAACCGACGAACTCTGAAAGACACACGTCCCTCGCTTATAATAGCAGCATGGCCAACCCTGGTCGCATTGTCCGCTTTTTCAGCCAAGGTGATGCTCGACTTGCCACACTACAATCATCCCCTATTTCAGGCACTCTGATGCTCAATAATTTGTCGTGCTACCCATGAAGGCAGGACCACACATTTCATAACGCACTGAAGAGGAGGATAGTTCCTAAACAGATCTCCCACACAACACCAAACTTCAGTACATGGCATCACAATCACGTTTTTGGGCGAGGACCTTGGCTTGGCCTTGAATACGCTTTAGGTAAAGGTAACTGTTTAACAGTCACCTTCTCTCACAGCTAGCCCAACAGAGGAATGGAAGAATGGGGGAGGGGTTGGCGAGCGAAAAAAAAAATGGACACTGGTCGTTTGCAGACCGAGTGCACGTTTCACCCTTGCATGCGCTATGAACAATGGCAGAGGAAGAGCTTTGGGCTACATTTCATTATACCCTGGTGATTAGGAGAGTAACCTGCCCCTCTTGCTCGGAGCCTGTTTTGGCCTCAAATCGAGCTCGGTTGAAGGCACGGCACGGGCATTTTTTCCTTCAAGAATGCAGCGCTGAATCCTTGTCATCCTGCAGCCGCCTGGAAAGCCCCCATAACGTTGAGAGTCGTAACAGTACAGACTACCCTTCATTGTAAACTTCAGTGTACCACATGCAGACAAGTAAGTCATGGTGCTGAAGTTGGTAGGTGCTCTGAAAACTAATGTGAAGAATAATTTGGAAGATAGTTTAACCAAGGTGAAAGAAAGTAGCCAAAAAGAGGCATCGCTTCAGTAATTGCACGATAAGATCGTTGACTCGGTTGATGAAGAGAAATGGGAGACTTCTCGGCCAGTATGCGGCGCGCAGTGTTAGCGATATGGTGACAAATAGTGTTAAGCAAAGCACTAATCATAAAGGTGGAAAAGTTAATAGGATATCAGCAATGGGAGAAAAGGGGTCCTGGGCAACTACCGAATGGGAAAAATGAGCAAGGATACACTTTACGATCATTCAAGGAAATAGAAGCAATTTGCTGTTTTACAAGCTTGGGTTGCCTTGGCATGCATAGCTGTAAAACAAGATTAAGTACAGAAGAGAAAGGCTCATGCGAGGGATAGGTAAGAAAACGATGGTACCTGCTTTAAATGACTGTGAGGGCATTGACTTGTGTTCATGTCAAGGCACTAGCCTACATGAAGCATAGAGTTTTGGAGACAACGTTGGAAAGAGAGTGGTGAAGTATATTTGGGTATCAAAAAAAAAGTCAAAGTAAGGTTATCTAGCACTAAGGCACAGAGATTGGGGCTATTTATTCTTAAGGTTTTTATAGAAAGACAATGTCAATTCACCTAAGTTTAGTCCTTAATAGTATGATGTTAGCCATGATAATAATATAATCTTGATTTTTGCCAAGCAAAATTATCTACCTGTTTTTTAAGAGGAGACACTCTTTTTACTGTCATCAAGAAAACTTTCGCACTCCTGTAACACACAGGGGCGATAGCTACCTCCTTTTTCGTCGGGTCTGTTGATCGTATTTATTGCACACCCTCGAAAGATTGACATATTATCTTTCGTGACTACCGTTTGCTAGTGTGATGTGAATTAAGACGGTTAGAGTTTTTGCTCAAAGAAAGATTTAGCTTTTGCATGTAATTAAGAATATTAACCTCGGGGATGTCTTGTCGATTGTCTGCTTAGTTTGCTGATACTGATCAGTGAAAAGTACAAATTGCCCTACGCCTGAGAAAAACATTGTATTATCACACTACTATCCCATAATGCCAGAAAAATTATGAAAATACCCTAGAAGTAGGCTAATTAGCCTGTGGTTGGCAACCTTGTGTGGTAGTAGAGTTTCATGTAGCTCATGACACAATTTTTATTACCTTTGTTTTTTCTCGGTGGTTTTGCAGGTTTCTTGTCTCTTGCATATCTGGAACAGTCCTCTTCATCGGCGCCTGTGCGACGTCGACTGCATTCGTGCGAACACTGCTTCTATGTAACACATGATAAGTCAACTATGGCCAGACACCTTCGGATACACGTAGGCAAACACCCCTTCCAGTGCCACATGTGCCCTAGTTCATTCGCTGAAGACTCCAAGCTAGAGGCTCACATGCGCACTCACTCTGGAAAGTGTCCCCTTTCCTGTGTTCACGACAGTCAATCCTGCACACGGAACAATGCCGTCGATGTCCTCGTGCGCATTGGCTCTGGGAAGCGCCCATTTTCCTGCGTCCACTGCAATGCATCCTTCGTGCAGAAAAAGAGCCTCGTGAAACACATCCTCACCCACCACAAAGGAGAGCGTTCCTTTCCTTGTATCCAATGCAATGCATCGTTTGTGATGGAAACCGACTTCGTGGAACACAAGCGCATTCACACAGAAGAACGTCAATTTTCCTGTGTCCACTGCGATGCATCCTTTAAGCGTAAAAGTACTTTATTCAGACACGTCCGCCTCCACACAGGGGAGCGTTGCTTTTCCTGTGCGCAATGCAGTGCGTCGTTTGTGACTAGATACGATCTCAATCAGCACATGGTATCTCACACGAGCGAGCGTCCCTTCTCCTGCATTCACTGCAATGCATCCTTTAAACAGAAAAAGAATCTTTCGAAACACGTTCGCAAGCACACAGGACAGGGCTGTTTTTCCTGTGTCCACTGCAGTGCGCGCTTTGTGACTAAGTATTACCTCACTGAGCATACCCGGATTCACACAGGAGAGCGTCCCTACTCCTGTGTTCAATGCAATTCATCCTTTATACGGAAACCGGACTTATTGTCGCACATGCGCACTCACACAGGAGAGCGTCCCTTCTCCTGTGTTCACTGCAACGCGTCCTTTCCGTTCAAACAGAGCCTCGTGCTGCACATCCGCACTCACACAGGAGAGCGTCCCTACTCCTGTGTTTACTGCAAACGAACCTTTTCACGAAGGAACAACTTCATGGCCCACATTTCCCGCATGCATAAAATCCAAAAGCTACAATTGTGAGGAGCCTATAGGCTTCGAAGAGGAAGTGTGGCCGAGAGAGCACCGTTTATTGAATAAAAGTCAAGAGTGAGAATTGGTTGTTTGAGCAGTGTTGTAGGTGTTGCCGAATACTGTATAATTTCGTATAGTCTGGTCGTTGGGTCTTGTCAAGCTGATTGTGTTGCTTTTAACTCAACGGAACCATCCAGCATGTATTAACTGGAAAAATAGAAATTGAACTGAATTAAAAAGGTAACTGAATGCATTACTCGTTACTCCAACAAAAAAGAATGTCACTGCCCTATGTTACCTCTTCAAAAGGTAGCACATTGGTGTTACATTTATTGAAAAAAGTAATGGCCCAGTACTTCAGCTGTTACTCTGAGGTAAAAAATATTTAATCTCCACATTATGGCAGCAGAAATCTGAAATAGCAATTTCGTATTCTAAATAATAGTCTAATAAAGTTGATATCGGTTTTTCAAAAATAAATTTTTTAGCTTAAGAAACAACTTTACGCAAAGTACTGATTTAACCAGAAGTTGCACGAATGTGTCACAGCTTGGCGCTATAGCTTAGGGATTTAAGGTTGCTTTTAGGGTTACATGGAATAGCTTCTAAGTCTGGCACATGATAAACGCATTTTTTTTCAGTGCAACATTAAAAACAAAACATTAATTTTCAGATTTCAACACCAAGGCTCTTGTTGAAAAAAAAAAAAAAACATGGCAACCCAATAAATTCACAAGTCACGATGTGCCTTTAAAGGCAAATGTTAAAACAAACAAAAATTATGCCTAAACCATTTAGTTCTGGAGAAAGATGCTTGTGTACATGTATGGTTTTCCCTTTAGGCTGTGTATTTGCTGAAAAAGTTACGAGCACTTGTAAAGTGTTGAAGGTCAGCCTTATTTGTGGAAAAATTGAGTAACTATTGAAACACGTACTCACAGAGGCTAATGGAAAGAAACAACATTGAAAAAAAGTTTATACCAGTGCTTGATTACTTAAAGGATTTTAAGGCAGAATTTAGAAAACGGTGCATTTCGAAGTTTCCATCGGAAAAATTGGCTCGCCTTTTAACGAGTGCTTCTGCACATACGCTAAATGGGCTCCCGACAGGCACTTTGGATGGTAACGATGGCTGCAGTCTGCCACTGCGAAAAAAGAATGTATGAGCGAGCTCTGCAATAGAGGCACCTATGCAGCAAAGGAGCTTTTTGTGAAGCTCCCGGCATCTTCGAAAAAAAAAAAAGTAACGTGACACCTAACGCTACCGAAGAACTGTAAAGTAAGTACATTACCTATTATAATTCGGATGTGGCAGGAAGTATGTTAGGTTACTGAAAAAAAAAAGCAACAAGTCACCATGGTAACGCTGTTATCTGTAAGGCGTTACAGCCGACATTGTTTTAAAGGAACCCTAATGCAAATAACATTTTCAGTCCGACTGATAGGTTAAATATGAGAATGTCAAGAATGTCAGTGTTATCAGCAACTGTGCGCCATGAGGGGGAAATTTTGGAATGAGGCTGACGATACCTCAAGTCCCAGGTACAATATTCGTTATTACTCAAGCTACTTGTAATGTAAAATAACATTCCATGCATTCCATGTCCTACTACTACACTGCTTGTGTGTTTGTTTGATTCATCGAAAAACAAAAAAAAAGGGACGCTTGAGCTTCTCTTTCCAAGAGCAGAGTGCGATAGCATAATCAAGCCTCGTCCACATCCACTGAATTGCTAGCCTGCTTTGGTACTTGGTGCATACCTATACCGCGATAGAAGAAAGTGAATGATTGTGCATGTAACTTTGGTCATTTCACTGTATAAATGAATGCCTAGTGTCAGCGCAGTTCAGTGCACACTATGCCATAATTGTTCATTTTGCAAATCGGCAAAAGGCCCACTGCGAATCCGTTGGGCAACACGCAGACCTATGCAGCTGTTCACTGTTGATGTTTCTGCTACTGGTAATGATAAAATGTGTCGGTGTTTTTTGTCTTTAAAGCACCCACTCGTTGCTTATTTGATATCTTTTGACGCCTGGCATGATTCTACGCTTCTGCCACGCAATAAATTATGTGTTAAGGAGACTCCTTGCACTCTATGAGATGCATAATGTTCTTCTGTTTTGTTTTCAAAGCTGGAAATTTCAAAGGTCACCCCGAGTCAAGGCTGCTCTACTTTGTTTATCTTATTATTTATTTTACAACATACTGCGGTCTTGAAAAGACCAAGCAGGAGAGGCACAAAAATTAAGTGGAAAACACACGTAAGCGTGATAGATGAATGCTGAGCACAAAATACAGAAGATAAGTACATTATACAGAGATATACTGATCACCCTAAACACAGGTTAATACGACCTTCAGAACAACGGAGATGGGTCTATCTCCTTATTATACATTCACAATTGCGATAAACAGTAAAGCAAGTCGAGTACAGCCCGCAGGGGCGCTTGCGCAAGTAGGCGTTTGGTGTGTAGCGACACCACGGACCCGAGCTAACGGGAGAGTTCTGACTCCCTCCCACGCCTAGCCATGCATGGCTTTGCCGTGTCCGGGGAAAAGGGGATCCTGGGGGTTGAGCTGACGCTGGGTGATTGGACCTTTAATGCCCCCCGGCAAAGGCAACACACCCCTTTGGCCCCGGCTTCATATAGACGGCACCCCTGGGCTGACCCACCCAGGGAAAATCGGCAGTCACCTTTTCCTATCTCTCTCCCCTACAACTTCTTCTTTATCTCTCTCTTTTTTAGTCTGTCCTGTCTACTTCTCTTTTCTGTTTACTTTCAATTTTCCTGGTGGCAAGGGTTAACCTTGTGTAATTACTCAACCTTGAGTAGTTATATTTGGTTATAGTGGCAATGTACAGCTGGTGTCTGCAGCCTTATGCTATTGAGTGCTTCAGCGTCCCCTGGTTGGACTCCATGGTGGGTGGTCGCCATTGCTGCCGAAAAAAAGTACGCTACTAGGGGAACACCTGCATTTCCCCGTCTCCTAGATCGTCTTCGGCTTAAGAGGGGACGCACCGATGAAATATCAATTTTCAGCCAACCCAGACAATGCTTTCCAAAATTCCATGTAGTGCACAGGGAAAACCCAACAAAACAAGCCAGAGCCATATCTCCATTTCTTGTTGCTAAATCTCTGACTGAGCTCTTTGGCCCAGGATACAAGGTTACAAAGATGGCTAGTGGAGACCTTCTCCTTGAGCTGCCTGAAAAACACCACTATGAAAAACTTGGCAGTCTCGTAGCATTTGGTAATATCCCAGTATTTGTTTCACCTCGTAGATCAATGAACACCTCACGCGAAGTTGTTTCAGAAGCAGACCTTCTTGAAATGTCTGAACGAAAACTGCTTGAAGGGTGGAAAGAGCAAAATGTCACGGATGTGAAACGAATCGTCATCAGACGCGATAACAAAGAAATACCTACCAAACATTTAATACTCACTTTCGCATCTAGCACACTGCCTTCATCTATAGACACAGGCTACATCAAACTCTCTGTCCGTCCCTACATTCCCAATCCAAGATGGTGTTGTAAATGTCAACGATTTGGTCATGGCTCGCAGAACTGCCAGGGTCAGGAAACTTGTGCAAGATGTGGTAGCCACGGCCAACCATCTGATAACTGTGTTACTACGTCTCTCTGTGTGAACTGTGACGGGGAACACGCCGCATATTCACGTTCGTGTCCTAACTGGAAGAAAGAAAAAGAAATAATCACTCTTAAAGCCAAAGAAAACATCACATTCAAAGAAGCAAGAAGAAGAGTGTCGTCATTTTACGGCGCAACATATGCTGATGCGTTGCGTCAGGGGGCAACGCCGCACCAGCCCTCGCCACCCCTTCGGTCAGCGCAGAGCGAGCCATCGGTTGTGGCGCCTGCCCCCAAGGCGGCAGTAGTTCAGTCTACTCCGCCTCCAAGCAAATTGAGGCCGGAGACTCCAGGGTCCGCTGGTCTCAAGGCCTCATCTCACCAGGCGAGGCCTAAAATCCGAACCACCAGCTCGCATGTGCGGGCATCCACCCTCTGAGGAGGCAATGGATACAACGGTACCCTTGGTACCGAAAGAGCGGCGCGCCTCCTTGGAGTGCGCCAAGAAAAATAAAAGACCAATAACGGGGCCGGACGACCGTCCTGCCACCTGAAATAACAAGCTCACTCTTACACAGGATACTCTGTACACACAGCACCATCTCTTCTTTTAATATGCAGACAGAAATAATACAGTGGAACATCCGAGGCCTTCTTCAAAACCTTGATGACTTACAAGAACTCCTCCATGAACACAATCCTAGAGTGCTGTGTGTACAAGAGACACACTTCAAATGAACAAACACAAACTTTTTACGTAACTATGTAATCTTCCGAAAGGATAGAGATGATGCCATGCTACCATCCAGTGGTGTAGTGGTTATAGTTAGTCAAGGTATAGCATGTACACAATTACCCCTTCAAACTTCCCTCGAGGCAGTGGCTGTCCGAGCAGTTATTCTAAACAGACTTGTCACAGTCTGCTCTTTGTACATACCTCCGCACCACCGTCTTGAAAAACTTCAGTTCCAGTCTTTAATAGACTAACTACCTGAACCTTATCTGGTCCTTGGGGACCTGAACGCACATAATGGTCTGTGGGGTGACTCTCGCTGTGATGCACGAGGTCGTCTCATTGAACAATTCCTCATTTCATCAGGTGCTTGTCTGTTGAATAGGAAAGAGGCAACATACTATAACCTTGCCAACAAAACTTACTCTTCCATAGACCTCAGTATCGCATCTCCTTCACTTGTACCATTACTTCAGTGGAAAGTCATAAATAATCCATATGGAAGTGACCATTTCCCTTTAGTTTTGAGTACACCCATAATATATGAATGTCCTCCACTTGTTCCCAAATGGCTGGTAAGCAAAGCTGACTGGGAACAATTTCAAAAGATTACCCACTTAAGTTGGACTGACATATGCGGATTAGGCATAGATGAAGCTGTGCAGTACTTCACGGCTTTTCTTACTGACGCAGCAACCAAGTGCATTCCACAAACATCTGGACTGCCCGGCAAACGACACGTTCCGTGGTGGAACACTGAGTGTCAGAATGCGCGAAAGGAACAGAACAGGGCATGGAGGTTGCTGCGGAACTCACCGACAGCAGAAAACCTTGAGAGCTTTAAGAAAATAAAATCTCGAGGCAGTATAACGCGTCGGCAGGCCAGAAAAGAAAGCTGGCACAAGTTTTTATCAGGGATAAATTCATATACACAAGAGGCTAAAGTCTGGAACATGGTTCGTAGGGTAGCAGGAAGACAAGTACACTCCCACTCGTAAACACACAGGGTGACAGCCTGGAAGATCAAGCGAACTTCCTCAGGGCATACTACGAGCAGGTGTCTAGCTCGTCACACTACACTGAAGCTTTCCAAAGATACAAAGCAAAGATATAAAAGCAGAAACTAGAATTCAAGTGCACAAATTACGAGGCATACAACCAACCTTTCAACTTAGCTGAGCTACAAACATCACTAAACTCTTGCAGTAATTCTGCCCCAGGCTACGACCGTGTCACATATGAAATGTTGAAAAACCTGCCGCTCAAAATGCGAAAAACTTTACTCTCTCTATACAATCCTATCTGGCTTTCAGGCACCATCCCTG